ACATGAGTGCTGGAGGAACGACTAAGAACATCCAGCACACAGCTCTTAGATGTACTAAAAAGAGGAAACAGGAAAGTAAGGAGGAGGAACTGTGAAGAAATCTAAGAGAACATTCAAGTGTTTGCACATGAGCCCCAGCTTAAGAGGTGCCAACGGGTGTGCATCCCAGGCACACCGTCGGGACATTTCAGAACTGTCATGATCTGAAAAGACAGGTCACCTCCCAAGGAACAACTAGGATCACGCTCCTATGGCCCTGGAGGCTGGCAGATGACAGAGAAGGGCTTCGGCAGCGCTCTGGGTGGGGAACGACTTCCACCGAAAATACCAACCCCACCAAACCAACTCTCAGGCATAAGGAAGAATGAAGTCATTTAGACACAGGGGGACTCCAAAGTTTACCTCCCACCCATCATTTTGGGGGGTTTGCTTAAAGAAGGGTGGAAGCACAATGAAGGGTTAAACCAAGAGAGAAGCAGCTATTTGCTCTAAGCCCCGGTGACACCGACCTAAGGAGGCAGAGAAGGGCGTCCGGGAGAGATGGCCTGTGACCTGTCGGGAGGGCAGCCTCTTGGGTTGAAGCCGGAGGGGGAAGGGAAACCCGAGGGGGTGCCTGGCTGATGGAGAGGGAGGGGTGGGGAACAGGGCTGAACAGAGAGGAGAGTTCAAGGGGGAAATGATTAGAAGCTTCCAGAAAAGGGGGGGAGGGGATGTACAGAAAGGAGATGGAATCACTACTGTCTGATCTTCAACTTTTAAAGTCAACCTATAAAGAAAACCCCCCACCCCAAAAAGGTTTGCTGCGGTTACAAATAGAATGTACACGTTACCAGGCTAGACACTTTTAAGGTAAACTCATGGATAACTGAAGGCAGAGGCTGCAACTAAAAAGTCAGGGTAACTTTAATAGCCTCATCTCGCAAAGCACAGGATCCAGGGACACTGTCAATATTTAGTAGAATAAGAAACAGGTTACTTAGGCAATCTATAGAAGAACTAAAAATAGCAATAGCCCTCAACCAGGAAAAGTGGGGAGGGGTTGGGTGTGGGGTAAGGGAGCTGAAGCACCCACCGAAGCAGGACGTCAGGGGACAGCAAACAGGGTAAGTCAGGGGACGGCAGCATGCACGTGGTGCTGAGAGGTATGGAGGAATTACCAGCAGAAACGGCCCAGCGTTGGAAGGAGCAGGGCTGGCGGGGAGGGTGTGGGGCAGGGACTGTCACTTTTTATTATTATTTTATAAGCTTTTGTATTCTACGTGATTTTTCTAGCCGTGTGCTAGAGATGGTAACACTAAGGAGATGATCATGGTCGCTCTCCTGTCTCAGTGAGGGTCCCCGCCCCAGAAAGCCCGGGAAGGTGTGGCAAGACAGGCTGGCAGGGGAACACAGGCAGCAGCTGATTTAAAAATAAATCGGCTCTAGAATGACTAAATTCAAACATCAATATTTTTTACATGTACAGGGACAATGCATTTTCATAACAAATCATCACAGCGCAATTCCTCGCGCATCTGACATTGTCAGGGAACGAGGCCTTGTCCGTGTGGGAATTTCCCGGCTGACTGCCTTTCACCACTGACAGGAGCAACGTTGGATGGGACTCGCTCCCAGACGAGTCGCACACACCCCATCTCCTCAGACAGAACGCCAGCTGACATTCGTGTGCCCGCCGGAAGGGCCTCGAGCGCATCCATCCAGACCCTTCCATTCATAGATGATGATTTAACCTTTTCTGATGACTCAGTCTCCACCATAAGCCATGCTCACGGCTCTGGGCTGGAGCATAGCAAAACCCGCAGGTGCCCAGGCGCTGTCAGAGCCACTCAGATCAGAGGCTGGGCTCTGGGCTCTCCGGCTTCAACCCTGAAGGCCACACTGATCCTCAGCTTGAGGACTCAGGAAAGGAGGCACTGAGCTTACTGCTCCCCAGTGTCCCATCAGGCTCACATGCTGAGGCCCCATGAACAGCCCCTAGCCCCTCCTCTCCTCTCAGACCCTCAGTACCACCAGTGCCCACACTCACAGAGAGGACAACTTTCATAGAGACACAGGGTGGTGGGAGGCCCAGACTGCACCAGCTAGGACAGCTGCTCATCAGGGGACCAGAGCAGGTGTCCCAAAGGCAGATATGAAAACTAGAGCCAAACACGAAGAGAACCAAATGCCACCAACATGAGTCATGACAAGGGACAAAGGTGGGCACAGATCATGGGAAAACATTAGGAACCTCAGCACACCCTACATTTGTGATTTGGGCTTGAAACAAAGGGCGCAGGTGATTTCTCATTTGTTCCCTAAATGGAAGGTGTGATAGGGACTATTGTGAGCTGAGTAGTGTCTCCCCCAAAATTTATATGCTGAAGCCCTAACCTCCAACATCTCAGAATGTGACTGTATTTGGAGACAGAGTCTTTAAAGAGGCAGTTAAATTAAAATGACATCACTAGGGTGGGCCCTAATCCACTGTGACTAATGTCCTCATTAGAGGAAATTAGGACACAGTCACACAGAGGACGACCATGTGAAGGCAGAGGGAAGGCAGCTCTCCAAAAGCCAAAGAAAGAGACACTAGCCCTGCTGACACCTTGATCTCAGATATGCAGCCTCCAGAACTGTGAGAAAATACAGTTAAGCCACCAGCCTGTGGTTCCTTGTGATGGGAGCCCCAGCAAACCAGTACAGGGACAAACACCACCATATAAAAATACATGGGGAGAGAAATGGGAAGCAACATAGGAAGCCCAATCTACGGGGTCTCTCGGGTCTTCCGGGGCTGACCTTGAAGTAACCATGAAGAAACTANGGCCCAATCTACGGGGTCTCTCAGGTCTTCCGGGGCTGACCTTGAAGTAACCATGAAGAAACTATATTTCATAATATTTAAAATGAACGATTTACCCTTTCAAAACTCTACAGTGTCCTCTCAATGACAGTGCTCTGGCTTTCCACAGTGCGGCACTGGAGGGTCTACAATCTCTGAATTTTGGGAAAAGATAAAGGCTCTCTGCTTATGAGCTTATGGATTTGGCTCCTAACTGAGATCTGGGCACCCATCTTTGCCACTAAATCCCAACTCCTCAGTGGAGTGTATCAAACACC